GAAGCCCGATTGCAAAGATGCATTAATTACGCTCCATAATTATCGGTGTACACGCGAGGCTCATAAATAGAGGATATAATTTGCATATCCATTACGCAAATTATTCAGCTGCCGAGAAAACTTTTCACAAAGTCTCGTATGCATTAGTGAAAAAAATAAATAAAAAGAGAAACCAAATACAAAAATTTGCATATAAATTCGTTCATCAAAATTGCGCACCGTATTCTCAATTGCAACGACACTTCAATTAGGCATCTGATATAGTATTAGTACTCTTTCATTAAGTTATTCCCACGCCCGCCTTTGACAGACCCATAAGTCAATCCAATTTTTATCTTTACTTGAGGTATTTTTGCACGTGCATGCATTGCTATAGTTGAACGGCAAAATACGTTAAGCCTATCTTACCATTACAAAATTCAAACCTACCTTATCTTTACAAAATCCAACCCCATCTTATCTTTACAAAAGCCAACCCCATCTTATCTTTACACATTTCAAGCCAACCTTATCTTTACTTACGGCAAATTTGCAAGCGCATGAACTGTTACCTCAACGCCAAAATGCATGAAGCGTTTTTCGTGTCGACGTCTCAGCGCTATGCAAGACAATGCCGGCTCGCGCGAAATTCCGATTTCTTTCCATTCCCATTCCCATTCCGATTCCCAGTCCTATGGCCGATCGAAATCAAATTCTCATCGAACGAGACGGTTCATTTCAAAAGGGAAGAAACGTTCCTTCCTTTTGAACATGACGCAGTGAACTATACCTAAATTGACATTGTATTTAGATATATATTCACAGGTAGATATACTCTAGCAAATCTCCTATTCCCTTCCTTCCTCTTTCTCCCTCTTCTTCCTCTCCCTCCTCCCCCTCCTCTTCTTCTTCTCCCTCTTCCTTCTTCTCCCTCTACCTTTCCTTCTTTTCCTTCCTCCTCTCCCTCTTTTCCTCTTTCCTCCTCTCCCTCTACCACTCCTCCTCATCCTGCTCGTAGTAGAAAGTAGATAATTAAGAGGAACTCCTACCCCCCTTTTTTTTTATCCATCCTTTCTTTCTTCCCCAATATACAATGAACATAAATCAAGAAAAGAAGAAAAAGAAAAGAAAAAAAAAAAAACAGACAAACAACCTCACCCCCTTGCCCCAAGTCCCCCCCCACCCATCCACACACAAAGAAAGAAAGAAAGAAAGAAAAAAAGAAAGAAAGAAAACAAGAAAGAAAGAAAAGGAAGAAAAGGAATAATCCCCCCCCCCCTACGATGCCATAACAGCCAGAGAAAGACAAAGGGGACTCTTAACTGCTGGCGGCGATAAGAGCGAATGGCGAGGACAGGGTAACGATCCGCCACAGATAAGGCTTATCGGTTTTATGCAGTTCTTCCTCCCCCGATGACGAATCCGTGACCTTTGACCTTTCGCAACGGATTTCCGCAAGACTTTGCAATTGCAGAAAAAAACGAGAGCCATCATGAATACATAAACACGTATTTCAAAAAAGTTTATATCTACAAACAGTCTGAAATATAGATGCAAGGGCTTTCGTCGTCTCTTTATTTTCAGTGGCAACATTAATAAATATACAAATCATAATCAAACAAAACTTCAAATAAACACATGAACAAACAGAAAGGCAATTACTAATCTATCCCTTCTCAAAAGATAATATATAACATATACATATACATATACATATATATATATATATATATATATATATATATATTATATATATATATACATATAAATATATATATAAATATAAATATATATATATATATATATATCTATATAAATATCGATAGATAGATAATAGATGGATAGATATAGATAGATAGATAGATAGATAGATAGATAGATGGATAGACATTGTATATATATACATACACACACACACATACAAACTCCTAAAATGCAAAACACATACCCAAATCCACACAGAAATTAAAAAAAAAAAAACACACACAACCAACACCCAAATCAAAAGGCTTTGAAAACTTCCCTACCCTACCTACCCTACCCTACCCTCCCCCCCCCCCACCCTCCTCCCTCCTCCCTCTTCCGCTGGGTATCCGCCAACAGTGAAAGAGACACGCCGTAGCTGAACGAGACTGACTCATAACTATATTTACCCGCTTCCTCGAATAAAACCTCTCGCAGGGCGCGTAATAATATACTCGCATATGCTGCCATGACAGACAAGCAAGACCAAACATATCATTAGGCATCGTACGAGTCATAATAGTAATTAACGCAACGAACTAATGCGGTTGCAAAACACGGTTCTTAAAAAATGTAATAATAATAATAATTGCAACATCAAATGAGATACAAACACATTCATATTTTTAAATAGGAGAGATGATGATGCAGAAGAAGAAGACAAGAAGAAAAAGAAGAAGAGGAGGAGGAATAAGAAGAAGAAAGAAGAAAAAAACAACAAAGAAAAATAAAGAAAGAAAAAAAGAAAAAAAGTAGAAAATATTAAAGAAGAACGAAGAAGAAAAAAATAGAAAATATTAAAGAAGAACGAAGAAAAAAAAGTAGAAAATATTAAAGAACGAAGAAAAAAAGAAGTATTATTAATAATAATAAGACACCAAACGAAACGACATTCCTTCTCTTTCTTTTCCTAATCCTCCAATCTCTTATTTACGAATCCCTTCCCATTATTCCAATCTGAAGACAGTCACAGCCTCCAAGCAATCGCGAGTTATGACTACCCTCGAAGACACAGACGCAGCAACACGTGAACAGCTCGCCTGGAAAAACAACGGGCCTAATCTTTTCTTCTTCTTCTTTCTATTCCTTTTCTTCTTCCTCCTATTCCTCCTCCTTTCCTTTCCTTTCTTTTTCTTTTTTTCTTTTTTTCTTCTTCTTTTTCTTTTTCTTCCTCTTCCTCTTTTTCTTCCTCATCCTCTTTTTTTCTTTCTTTCTTCTTCTTCTTCTTCTTCTTCTTCTTCTTCTTCTTCTTCTTCTTCTTCTTCTTCTTCTTCTTCTTCTTCTTTCTTCTTTCTTCTTCTTCTTCTTTCTCCTCCTTCTTCTTCTTCTTCCTTCCTTCCTCCTCCTCCTCCTCCCTCCTCCTCCTCTCCTCTCCTCCTCCTCCTCTCCTCCTCTCCTCTCCCTCCTCCTCTCTCCTCTCCTCTTTCCTCTTTCCTCTTTGTCCTCTTCCTCTCCTCTTCCTCTTCCAGCTCTGACTCTTGATGCATCCTCGTTCTCTTCCTTCTACTTCTTTCTTCATAAGTTTCTTTTCCAGTACTTCTTTCGGTCCTCTCGGTCTTCAACGTGGTCTCTCAAATCATCCATCTTCCCTTCCCATCAGCCTCATCTGAGCCGCTTGTTTTCGGATTCCACGATAGTCCTCGGTTATTATTGTCGAAGTAACTAGCCGGCAGTAATGGGCGGAATTTCTCGGACGTTAAGATCGGTGCGTGGTGGGGGACAGAAATTACTCAGAAAGACGTTGTGAGCAGAGTTTAGTGTGTGCTTTTCCCTTTCTGTCCTTCTTATTACGTCTTGGGAATAACTGAAGTGTAATACGTCTATTATTGCTCTCGTAACTTTATGTTTTTTAGACTGTTTTCTTTCTTTTTTTTTCTCTTTCTTTTCTTCTTTTTGTCCTTTTTTCTTTCTTTTCGATTTTTTCAAGTTTCCTTTTTCTTCTTCTTTCCTCCTCCTCTTCTTTTTGGGGGGGTCCCTGTGTATTATTACCAGGCGACAGTGACTTTTCGAAACAACGAGCGCTTATTGTGTCGATTTAGGGCGCGGAGCTTGGAGATGCTCTTTGCGTGGATGTCGAAATTTGTAGGCGAGATGTTGTTGTTGTTGTTTTTGTTTTTTTTTTTTTTTTTTTGGTTGTGAAAATTGACTAATCTTATTTTTTATTTTATGTTTTCGTCCTTCTCTTTCTACTCTTTCTCCTCCGTTTTTTTTCTTCTTCTTACCATCATCATCGCCATCAAGATCATCATCATCATCGCTATCATCATCACCATTTTCACCATCATTGCCATCACCATCATTCCTAAGGTCACCAATTATACCCCCATCCTTCTCCTCTTCCCTTTTTCTTCAATGTCCCGACCCTGTTCCCGTTCCCTCTTCCCTACTACTATTCTTCCTTCTTCCTTCTTTTCCTTTCTCTCATTTCTTCCTTCTTCCCTTCTCCCTTCCTCCTTTCTCTCTTTCGCTTCTCCTTTCCTTTCCTGCTTTACTCGCTTCAACCCTTTTCTTCCTTCTTTTACTTCCTTCTCCCTTTCTTCCCTCCCTCCTCCTCGCTCTCCCCACCCACTCCAGCACCCTCCATGCCGAAGACGATATCGCTCCCATGCTAATAACCATCGCTTTCGAATCCTCTTAAACAGCCATGATATCATGCTACCCCCTCCCCCCTATAGATCCCCCCTGCCCCCACCCCCTTCCATGCCCGATATTACCCCCTGCCAGAGCGAAGATAAACTCACTCGCCTTCCTTGCGCAGCTAAGGTTATCGGCGCCCTCCATATTGTTTCGCTAGAGTTTTTGTTTTTTTTAATGTTTTCAATTCCTTAGCCATATCGAAGACGTGACTACCACTCACACAGCCATTAAATGGAACAGTACCACCTCATAATAATGGCGAAACAGCACGGACAATGATCATGAGCTATTCCAAAGCTATTGTTCATAAATATAAAAAAGACTCATATATAATAGATATCATGACACCGGCACTACTATAGTCAGTAAAACAAGTTTCAAACCGAAGTTATCAGTCGAAATAAAATGAGAAGCTATAAAAATAAACGGAACTAAAACGCACCCATTCCCCTACTGCACAGCTTGATACCCGCTGGCCAACCCTTCAGCTNTCTCATGTCATGACGTCCACATTATGTAATATATATATATATATATATATATATATATATATATATTATATAATTAATACACACACACATATATATATATTTCAACATCCAGCTCAATTTCAACCTACCATCCTTCCTCTCGTCCAGGGA